GTCTCCAGGCAGCGCTGAAGGGACAGAACGGCATCTCCTGTAGTTGGAGAAAAGGAGATGTAGAGCTGCGTGTCATCCGCATATTGATGGCACAGGGCTCCACACCCCCTGATGACCCCCCCCAGCAGCCTCATATAGATGTTAAACAGCATTGGGGAGATGATCGACCCCTGTGGAACCCCACAATTGAGGCTCCACGGGGCCGAGACATTCTCCCCAAGCTGTACTCTCTGGGGACGGTCCTCCAAGAAGGAACGGAGCCAGGCAAATGCCCGGCCACCTATTCCCAACTCGGTGAGCCTCCCCAGGAGGATACCGTGGTCAATGGTATCGAAGGCCGTTTTCTCATTAACTGGCCCTTACCATCTCAATAACTTACTCTGACACAATATCAGTAGAAAGAATAATTTGCTTACAATTGAAACAAATCAACAACAAGCTGACAGACGCAACTGCTTTGAGCAGCAGACCTCAACAGAATTTAGAGAGTGGGGAAAGATGAGCAGAGAGGTAAGGTCCTCTTTGATTTCAGTGGCAGGGAAGGAATTATTGGTTAGTACTGAATAGATTGACAGTCACCCTGACCCAGAAAGATCCATCCTAGCCAAACCCTCTGAAGGCAGCAGGCAAGATTTTAAAAATTTCAGAAGTTTCTACACACCATGTAGTTACTAAAGGTACAGCAGTTTGGGGGAGAGTACCAGGTCTCTAAGGATCCCCTTCTGAGTCCCATGACTTATTAAAATGTCTCCCAAATATTCAGCAACTTTTCTTAAAATCTCTTCGTCTCTTTTTGGGACTCATCAAGCAACTTCTGCACTTTTAAAATCTGAAGACTTTTTAATGGCCCCATCCAGATCTATCCCTGCTAATAAGCACAGGGACCCTCTCTTGCTACTTTTTCCAGAAGAGAGATGCTGATGAGGCCAGCCATACCACATTGGATATATTATGGCAGAATTATGGGATGTAATAATGATGCTTTCCAATGGGGACCTGCCTTCAGACAATGCTTCTCTCCCAGACCATTCAGGTTTCTCTGTAGACTGAGCTGGCCAAAACAGCTCCACAGTTCAGGGGCCCCCTCTGTTTCATTTGACCAATTTAAAACTAGTTACTCAGTGACTTAATTAATTTAACAGGAAAAGCAACACCTGACAGAGGGAGGAAACAATGTTCAACACCTCCCTGTGGTGTTATATCCTAAGTCTAAGTGGGTTACCTCAAACCTGCACGTGCCTGTCTTTTTTTTACCTCATGAGTATGATAGATTTGCATATTTAAGGATGAGGGTTCACCCGAAATGTGCCATCTGTACTTTGCTAATTCAGGTCTGGGTACTTAACACAGCATATGTTCCTCCTATTTTTATCCAAGCGCCACCTTTATAGTGCAGTGGGATAGATTCTTGGGTCAAGGAGTTACTAGCATCTCATGATTTCCAATGCCACTCAGTCTTGCCATTAGACACAAGCCTTTGCTTAATTTCTGCCCCTCATCCAGTTATCTCTTGCAGGTCGTTATCCAGCATAGTGAGTGCAGACCACAAAAAAAATATTTCAAATTCAGGCCATGGTGACACCGAAATGTTCCCCATTTCTAATGATACTTTCCATACTTTCGTTGCAATGCATTATGGACACGTGGTATATATACCTGGATGAGCATCCATTGTAATGCATTATGGAGACATGGTATATATACCTGGATGAGCATCCGAATGTGTGTTAACATTACCGAGACATTTTCTTCCATTCTAATCATTATGGCCAGTGACACCATGGTACCGATTTATTTTCTCTCTTGTTTTATGGGGCACTGAAGCCCCTTAACTTGGATTTTTAAAAAAAATATATTGATATGTTGGGTAGTGTTTCCTGATGGGTAGATTTCCCTCTGTTGCACCGGTGCCTCTGGAATCAATGCATTGCACTCAATGGACCTGGCATTCCCACCCACGGCTGTGCTGCTTGCCAGACAGTAGGTGGAGTGATGCAACCTCTACCACTACCTTTAAAGCTGTTGACATGAGTTTGCCAACATATTGACACTTTGACAGCAGAATTAAAAAATATATATTATATAGAAGGATAGCCATGCAACAGTAATCGCAGCCAACTTCCGTGGTGCATTTGCTTCAAAAAAGTATTGATAGGATCATACACGCATGCCATACTGCTATGGCATATATCAAACCCCTGCTGTTGGAACAAAACAGCAGAAGCCTCCCAGCAAATGAGAACAGAATTTAGCTCAGAGTAGTGCTGCACCCAGCATTCCATTTGCTGTGCTTGGTCCTGGATGATCACACATGTAGCAGCTTTCAAGGGAGCAGATTTTTTTCTGTATTGGACCTAAAGTCTGCTTGATTCCGTCATCCATTCCCTTGATGTTACCTGTGTCTGCTGCTGTATGTGAGAGCAGAGCTGATGCCAATAATCATTCAATAATATTAGAACATCTTCTGGCAGTCTGTTGGACTTTGCTACGAGCAACTCAAAAACTTTTAAGTTGCACTCGCTAGGACACGCTTTGTATGCTGCTAGAGTTCTCCTCTTTTCCTTGATGGTTGGTATCAACTCCTCCGAATGGGCGTCGAACCAGTCTGCCGTTTTTTTGGTCTTCTCACCAAATGTGGACAAGGTGGTGTTATAAACAGTGTTCTTGAAATGTTCGCATCGTCCAGGTCTATTTGCATCAGCCAGGTCTGTAAGAGTTTTCTTAAGTGCTTTAGCAAATTCCTCCACTTTTCTCTGTTTGCGAGTCTTGCTGATGTCAATACATGGTCCTCCTTCCTTTTTTGTGCGTTACAATCTCTTTGCTCGCAGTTTTATTCTACTACACACCAGGGAAAGATCAGTATCGCAATCAGCACTCTGGTAACTGCATGTGATCGTAATACTAGGAAGGCTAGAATGTCTAGTGAGGATCAAATTGAGCTGATGCCAATGCTTCGATCTTGGATATCTCCAAGAAACTCTTTTGAAGCTTCATATTAAATAATGTGTTGCTGACACAAAGACCATAGTAACAGGAAAACTCCAGCAAGTGTTGGTCATTTTAGACCATCTTCCCAATGCCATAACAGCCTAGACAAGTGGGCCAAGAATTGTGGTCAGCACCAACTCTAGCGTTAAAGTCTCCGAGAATGAACAGTGCCTCTCTTTCAGGGACTTTTTTGATAGTAGCTGCCAGATTGTTGTAGAATTTGTCTTTGACTTCTGATGTAGATGACAGTGTTGGTGCATATGCACTAATTCATTATCAGTCCTGCTGATGGATGCAGCTGCAGAGACAGGATTCTTTCCCTCCCCACAGTTTTTTAATCATTTGTGTGTGTGTTGTTTTTTTTAAATCATGCTAGATATGTAGCATTTCCTATTATCCACAGTATTCACTGTCCATGGGGGCTTGGAACCAATCCCCAGTGGATATGGGGGTCCTACTGCATTTGTGGAATATTCAACTGGAAGTCTGCAAAGTTGGCAAGCAAGAGTGATGGGATTTTATCTTTCGACTCACAGGGAAAGACTTATCAGTTGGATTGCTCTTCTTTGGATGTGTTATGCATTTATGTCATCAATAGCAATATTATTCTGTGCCATTATGGCCACCGTTAAACAAACCTTGTTGTCTTTAAACCCTTGTCACATTTTATTCCAACAAAGCTCCACGGGGCTTATGAAGGTGGAGGTTACATACACGTCTGGGTGGAGTTGTTTAATGATCTGAAAAGAGCTAATGGCAAACTTCTTGTTCTCCTAAAATCAATGAAGAGTTTGTCTTGGTATGTTCATTAAACCTGTCTGTACAGAATATCAGACTTTTGGCTCAGAAATTACTGAATGCTCCACTGAGCTATAGCATAAGGCCCAGATGAAACCAGTCCTACTCACCAAGGTAACAGCCACAGCAAGTTTGGGAAGCCCAGCTTTTCTCCCCCATTAGAAAAGAGTTCCACAAAGACTGGAAAAATATCCTGAGGTCTCTCCTCTGTTTTTCACTTTTTGGTCTTAGACAAAGAGGTCCTGGGAGCTAGAGAGCAAAAGGGAAGCCAAGAGATTGTCTTGTACTGGATGACTGTTAATTGTTACGTGTATTCTAGACAGGGATCCTTCACTTTCCTGAGCCCTGGGTGATTATTGTTACGTGACTGGGATCCTTCACTTTCCTGAGCCCTGGGTGGCAGGTCTGTAGTTGCTTAGAGATATACACCCACCCAGTCTCAAACAACTACTGTATTCACACACAACAGACCACACAATATTGATACTGTACAGAGATGGGATTTAGACCCTTCCACACACCAGCTCTGTCTCTTCATCGACTCTAGTGACAAAATGATAGGAACCAACAGTATCATTCACAACATCAGGAGCTTGTTTACTTGTTCCTCTGCTCATGTGATCTAACAACATCAAGAGCTTGTTCACTTGTTCCTCTGCTCATGTGATCTATGATCACAGTCCCACTCGGCATCCTTGTCAGGGCAAATGGTGTTGAGTGAGACACAGTTTGCCCTGGCAAGGATTTATGCCCAAGGATTTATTTTTGACCTTCTCTAAAATAAGAGAACAATTGGGCATAAATCTGACATCAGAAATGGCAACACACAAAAATCTGTCCTAGAATGTTTTAATCTCCCTTGACACACTATGAACAACCTGAAAGTGACTATTGATAGAAAAAAAAGACAAGACACAACGAAATTTGAACGAGAGACAGCAGGGATAAGAAACATATACACGCTTGACAGTTTGTCAATAGGAATGAAACATTGACCAGGGGCTCCTAACTCATCACACAATATTAATATTAAAACTCACAATAAGAGCAATATTAAAAACACAAGTGAAATAACACAATACAATAACCCCCTTTTTAAAAATCCCCTTGGACAAACCAGTCAATTAAAGGAAAGCCTTTGCAGAAGGACAGCAAATATGGGGCCAGACTAACCTCTTGCAGGAGGGAGTTCCAGAGTCAGACAGGCTTGCTTCCCTAAAGGAGATACCAAGGTTAAATTACAGTCGCAAGTAAGATATGCCTTATAAATCTTAGGGCGTGAACTCATGAAGTCAACCTGATCAGTGTGCATTGAGCATGAGTGGCTAGTTCAGGTGATTCTACCATGGCCTCGGCTCTCCTGTTTATTGCTTCAGCTCTGCTCTGCTCAGGACAGGTGGTGGGTAAGTTTTGGATCCCGTTCTGATGGATTGTTGTTATGGCTACAATGCCATCGTCTCTTTCAAGGGCTCCTTTCTGTCCCCCACCCCCATGGGCCAGCTGTTGTATACAGAAATATGTGACACTGAATGAAATTTTGGAATTGGCAGGGCTCATTTTGTTGGTATCCGAGCTTGAAGAAGGTGATTGATTGATTGATTGATTGATTGACTGACTGACTGACTGACTGACTAATTTTGGAATTGGCAGGGCTCATTTTGTTGGCATCTGAGCTTGAAGGTTATTGATTGATTGATTGATTAATTTTGGAATACAAATCTTGGAAGCCTCACCCCACTCCCTGGATCTTTAGGACTAAGTACAAATCTTGGAAGCCCCCACCCCACTCCCTGGATCTTTAGGACTAAGGGAGTCCCAGTACTAAAAGTATATCCTTAAAGCTACAGTTATCATTTCTTATGAGTTATGTGCATTATATTTCTGCCCTGCATTTCCTCCAAAGAAGTATGACTGGTTTGCACTTCAATCTCACAATAAATCGAAAACGTAGGTTCTACTGGGAAAGAGAACAACAGAGCCAAAGTTACTCTGAGCGAACTTTGTGGCTGAGTATGAACAATGTATGGCTTGGGATCGATCCAGGAGTGAACCAATGTCAAGCTTGCAAGAATAGCTTTGTTCTGTGACGAGAGTGAGACTTTGAAAACACCATTTTTGAGGGACTACATCTCCCAGAATCCTCAACCCAAGTGACCATGGTAGGGTATCCTCCCTGCCCTAGTTTTCCCAGGCTCTGTAAAACATCTATGACCTGGTGAAAAAAATACATAACCATCAGAAGTAATAAACTGTGATCCCAGGGATTTGGGGGTGGGTTAGGGGATGGGAGCACAAGGGCTGAACAGAAGAAGCCATGAGGACTAGGAGCTTTTTCAGTCTCTGGCAGGTCTCACCCAATCTGTTTCCTCATTTAGAGAGCCTTTACTGCAAAGAGTGCTTGGTGGAAACAGATGATGGGCGCTGCTTGATTACTGCTGGCACATGTAAGGCTGCTGAAACATGCATGACAATCATGATTTACGCAGGTAAGTGAACCCGTCTGGAGCTCTTGCTGTTCCCCTTGCCTCCTCCTTTGAAACAGGATGGACACATGTCCTCTTGTAAGGACAATCCTCCGTGTGAAGTGTGGACCAGTCTAAATTTGTTGCAAAGGTAAAAGTAGATTAGGATCCCTGGGGTTGCCCGTCCACCACTTATTAGCACCCAGAAAGTAGACTCAGCAGCTGGCAAATGGATCACCCGATCACATGTGTTGGTGAGATGTTTTGTGATGCAGTTTGAATCAGAGGTAACCATTGCCGCTTGTGCATATGTGCAAGCACTGGCACGTTCAGTTTTACGAAATTCGGTGTCCCCCTCCCCCGGTCCTTTCTTTCCCTACCTGGGGTGCATCACCTCTTGTCTTTTGAGGTGATGGGAAAACAGCCTAAAGCTGGCTGGACAGCTCCATGATTTAGGCATCTGGCTGTGGAACTGGCTGGACAGCTCCGTGGTTTAGGCATCTGGCTGTGGAGCCAGAAGTTAGGAATTTGATTCCTCACTGTGCTTCCTTTCAACTACAGAGCTGGTTTTGTTTGTAACTCTATTGTTTAGAGTCACAAATGAAACCTACAGCAGGACTTGAACCCTGATCTTCCAGGTGTAGGTCCACTCTGGCTCATCAAATGACACTAAAGCCTTCTGGATTCCTCACTTTTCTGACAGTTAGGAAAAAACTGGGGATGCCCGTTTAAGTGCAGAGGTGGGCGCTGCATAAACAGGTTTCTGTCTGTGTCATCCGGTCAAGCAGTGCTGAATTTTAAAATAAAGGTACACATCATGGCAGACTCCTGTAATTAAACCCCCAAGGAGAGTCTAAAAATGCAGGCAGCTGTCTTGCTCTCCATCGTCAAACCAGTTCTACAGATTTTCTTGTCTACTAGGAGCAGATCTTTTATAAAGGCAATGGACCTTAATGGCTTAAAACCCCAGACAGTTAAACTTCAAATGCTGCTGCTCATCAAAGCTGATAATACCTTTTCTGAAGGTTTCAATTCAATGTAAAGCAGCTTTACAAGTTCATCCTCTATATACAACATTTCTGCTTATTCTGTTATTCAGACCTCGGGGAAATTAATGTTTGGACTACAAATCTCAGAATGCCCCCAGGCAACATGACCCCAAAACCTGTAGATTTTATACCGCAAACATGCTTTTATATTGTTTGTTTGGTTCAACGGGATTATTTTGTACATGAGCTCTGCAAAGACAATAAACTTTGAGAAGATCTGGAATGTCAAATCAAACAAAGAAGCAAATTAAAAACAAACCCGCCCAGCAACAATAATGCAAACTTGGCTTAAATTGGGTACTATAAAAAATATGCCCATGAATTCCATGCACAAAAAAAGGCACCAGAGGAGTTATCTCTCATAGAAAATAAAGCCCCACCCCAAAAGCTTTCTAATCCTAATATGTTAGGAACCACATCTCAAGCCCACTCTGTCTTTCAAATTCTTCTTCTTGTGCAAAGATCCAGGGCTCAAAGGACAGAGTTCCACAGACGACATCCCTGGGGCCCTAAATCAACTCGATAAGATTCTAATTCAGGCTCCAAGGGAATAATCACACGAGGAAATAAACTGCACTTGTGGAGCAGTCTGATGTGATCTGTTTTCCGGCACTCATACGATATTTGGGGAAATGCACTCCGGCCTGACCCCAACCTATGCTCAGGCTGGATTATTTTGGTCCAGCTATAGGGCTTTGGCTTGTCTGTGTGGCAGGGGGGTGGCAGGCTGAAACAATTTCTTGGCAGACAGAAAGGTTGTTTTAAAGGGAATGGCTCCTGCTAAAGCCATCCTTTCTGGTGGGATCAGGTGATACATTCTTAGATCAACTGTCTGATCGCGCAACCTAAAAATATCTGAAGGGCTGAACATTGCCCACCAATGATCTACAAATTCAAGACGAGAGAAGCAGTCCTGAAGGTTCTCTTTTTTTTTCTTCCCTTATAGAAAAAGAGGTGAAATTCCGTGTCTACGGCTGTTTTGTGTCTGATCACTATCACTGTGGGATGAGAAAGAAGACGGGTGGCCATACATTAAATGTCCGGTGCTGTGCAGGCAGGCATCTATGCAACAAAAAATTCCATTTCTGATTGCTGTTTACGGTGTACACCCTTCTTCACTTTGCAAAGTCTGCAGAATCAGAGCTTCGAATGCCACTTTTAAAAGCAGGATTTTTTTTCATGTTTCTAGAATTATCATTTAAAAAAAGAAAAGATTTTGTTCTTTGCAAGTGCTGCTTCTTGTAACGCGTTGTACTTCTTTTTTCATCTTGGGGAATAGGAAATGCTAGGATTTGTATGAAAAATTTCTAGCAAAATGTCTTTTCATGGTAACTTTTAAATATATTTACAGAACTTTGCTCACCACACAAATAAAGTAGCAGTGTAACGACTAATTTAGTTAGTTATCAAATGTGTCATCATTTCACTCTCATTACTTCTAAATAGAGTGAGGATTTCTATGACATGGCATATTTTTTTCTGCAACTTATATTTGAACTTATAAGTAAGTTTAAACATGTTTATGAGTAATCTGGTGAGGATTAAATTGGTTTTATTTGCCTGGAAAGCCATAATCTGACCTTTTTTAAAGTGTGATGTCATATTTCTGTTTAATTTCATAATAAGCATTATATTTTGGTGGTATTTTGATCACTGGCAACCCTCCCGAGGAGCCAGCAAATGATGTAAGAGAGATGGGGATTTTTATTGGCATTCTGAAGTATGACAAACCTGGTGAAGTATTTCTTCTGATGTGAATGAAACTCTACAAAAAGAAAACAATCCACTATTGTTGTGCTCTTCGAAGATGCTATGAAACTACTTGGGCCAGATGGTGTAAAAAATGGGAAACATCCTCCTCTTTGTAACAGACGCCACTCCATACACAACTAAGGCAGCCAAGGGACTTAAGCTTCCTAAAGTCCAAGCTGCCTTTCGTCCCTTTTAGGAGAAAAGCAGTGTAAAAATAGTTTAAATAAATAAATAAAACAAATTTATCAAAAAATGATCAATATCAAATGCCTTTCACATAGTTTACCCAGAGTGACCGAAGACACTTGAAGCAACTATCCTGATATAGATAACATAGTTTCAAAAGGGGGGGAATGTTTGTTAACCTCCCCTTTGAGTACAAAAGTACAAAGAAATTACAGTGGTGCCTCGTGAGACAGTTACCCCGCATGACAGTTTTTTCGCTAGGCATTGACTTTTTGTGATTGCTATAGCGATTCGCAAAACAGTGATTCCTATGGAGGAATTTCACTGGACAATCTTTAGTCCCTGCTTCGCAAACCGCTTTTCGCTAGACGATGATTTTGACAGCTCCCTCTGCGCTCAGGAAACAGGTGTTTTCGGGACCTAAGCTTCTCAAGACAGCGATTTAAACAGCTGATTGGCGGTTCGCAAAGCGGCTTTCCTATGGCCGATCGTCGCTAGACAACGACGATTCTTCCCCATTGGAATGCATTAAACAGGTTTCAATGCATTCCAATGTGGAAATGCTTTTCGCTAGATAATGATTTCACTAAACAGCGATTTCAGTGGAACGGATTATCATCGTCTAGCGAGGCACCACTGTACTCCTTCTTCGGCCATCCCTCTGCAACCTGTTGTGATGTGTTGCGACACTTGGCTGGATGCAGCTAATTTATTCCACAAATTATGATTCCTTGCAGCAGATAGTTCAAGAATTTTACTGTTCTGAATCTTCCTCCATCAAGTTTGTGCAAGACTGGCATATTAAAAAATGTAACATGAACAATCACCTGCCTTGAAACGGTAAGAATGGAACTTAGCGATGCACTGAAAATTGCAAAACAAACTGAGGGTGATTTAAAGTGAGCAAAGGGGAAAGTGGCTGAAAAAATACATTGTTAAACTGCAAAGATGCTGCAATCTCATTTGGGCCATTCAACACTTTGTAAAATAAGGAACATTTGAAATAGACTTGAAGCAAAATTTGATGACTTGGAGCCAGAATTTTCTCCCGATGAGTTGGCTTTTTTTTCAAATTTGTTCCTATAACCTCTTGTGATGTCAAATGGAGTTTCTCCAAGTATAAAAAACATACTGGGAGAAAACAGGAGTTCTGAGCTTGAGAGCCTCAAGAGGCACATAATCATCCAATGCAATTCTGCTATTGGCAAAAAACTAATCCAGATATGACTTATTTTACTCTCAAATGTTCATTTGATTCTTTCCTTCAATACTAGCACTTCTAGACTAGTAGTGAAGAAGAATAAACCTTTTAATTTTTATTCATGTGTATAAGTACAGATTTTCAAAAATTGAGTGCTAATTTTAGAAAAATTATAAAGTCATATTTTTTGTTTAATTGATCATGTTTAAGCAATTTTAAGGTCGTAAACGCTTACATATTTCTAACATTTTTAAGTCATAGGAATCCTTGCTTTACTTATAAAAGTAACAGGTAACTATATTAGTTTTCATATATCCAAGCTCTGTTTATTTTTTCTCTTTTAGTTTATTCCCCTCTTGTTATTCCAGCATCTGCAACTCCTTCATACATCTTCACATGACATGAATTAGTAGCAGAGGTTAATCTGTTTCAGCATATATTAAACAAAATAATACAAAGAAAAAAAGAAGAGGTAGTCTCAAAAGATGCCGGATGAATTTAACAGATTTATTTTAGCCTGAGTTTTTGTGGATTACAGTTCTCAAGTGTGTGGAAAACAATGGCTTCAGCATTGCACTGACAGTTGAAGGGGAAAAAAAAGCTTAATAGAGTTGTGTAGTAGCCTACAGATGTTTAGCATAATTGCCAGGATTCTTATGTTAACCCCGGACTCAATCTTGTTTCTAAATAAGTGTCCTAAAGCCCTTGAATGTTTATGTCAAATAAAGCTTGTTAGTGCCATGAGACTTGTGTTTTTCCACTCTTGGAAAGTTCACTGGTTTCAATAACAGAAAGGTGAGTTGTTGTATCCCATTCCACACTGATCCCACCCCCACAATAATGTTCATTGTGTATAAAACCTGTGGCCTGCATATTGCACTCTGTCCAATGAATCAGAATCCAGAAAAATGCATACCAAAATTAATATGGTAATCTCAAAGGCAACCCAAGACTTTGTTCCTTTTTTTATTATTTTGTGAGCTTATCATCTGGTGCATGGCATGACTATACAGACATTGTGAAGTCTAACTGTCTCATTGGTTTGTTCTAGTCACTTGGTGGACCATGTTGGCAGTTCATGGCCATAAATGTTCAGGAAAGGAACAGAAAGTTTTTGTCCACATCTCTCATGCACCATTGGGTCCACGGAAAGATTAATTCCCATTATTTGAACCATGCCAAATGTACAAAGCAGAGAAGAGGGTGAAACAAGGTGTACTCTGAAGCACATCTACCCAGAACAGGGGGCGGGGAAAGAAACTACTGTACAGGTGTGATTTACATTGACATATAACAGTAGAAATTCTCCAGCATTGGAATAATCTGGTTTCCATTTTTCCTGTTGACCACATAATATAGAAGCCAATGTGAATCAGCTTGAACTCCACCCCTGCATCCATATTTTTTTCCTCCTTTGCGGGGGCTTCTAGTTTTTTCTTTTACCATGAATTCATTTGCATCATTCCAGGCGGTGTGATTGTTTGAGCCAACGTGCAACAGTTTGTAGCGATTGTATTTAAAGCCATCCCAGCCAGTTTCAGCGGCAATGAGAGGGGCCAGGCAGTGCGGAAGTGGCTGTGATTTGAATCCTTTCCTTCCCATACGTGGAGGAAAGTTTCCTGTTTTTCAACTGAGAAACAGGAAGCTTTCCCTTTAAACATTCTTGCTTTGGAGAGGAAGGGAGAAAACAACTTGTCTTTAAGGGATGCTAAAGGATGCCGCGAATCAGTGATGCTTTGACAGCTCTTTTAAAAAAGAAATCTTCCAAAGCACTGCTGATCTTTGCACAACAATTAATCACCCTCCCCTGTCCTCCAAAGTTCAGAGGAATTTTTCAATTGAGTGGCTTCTTCCAAAGGACAGCCATCTAGTGGGAATCAAACCAAAAGGGAATCAAACCAAAAGGGAATGATTCTACCCATCGCACATGTGGGAATCAAACCAAAAGGGAATGATTCTACCTGCACCCAAAAACGTTATCCCCTGAGAGGGATCCAGAAAGGTGATACTCTTAACATTCAGTGCTGATTATGGGCTGTCTGATTTTGGCTGCCATGACAGCAAGGATTTGGATTATTTTATGAGGGGGCCAGGTCTTAGGGCTTCCTGCCATTACCAGCTAGCAGTGCTGCACCTCACACCCTACAAAACAGGCACTGGCCATTTATGCCCGCAGGCTGCTTTCACATTATGATAACATCCAGAAACATTTGGGAATATTTAATTCCAATCTTAAATCCAAGTCCTAGGGAATAAGAATCACATGAGGCTTATTTCTGAGCAGGCACACGGAGAACTGAGCTGCATGGCCTGGTTCTCACATCTGTATTCATTCCTTGATCCTTTCAGTTGTCGCCTTTCCTTTCCAACCAAATTTTCCGATACCATCACAGGCTATTGGGATCTCTCTTATGGCAGGTCCAAACAACGGCGATGCATTCAAACCTGTTTCTTATCTTCTTCCGCCAATATATCCTTCTGCCTACACAACTTTCGCCTTATTTCACTTGCATGATAACAGCTGTAGGATAACAGACAATATTTAAAGTTAAGAACAATAAGTATACAAATGTTAAAAAGGAACAAATACCACTCTAAGAAATGAACAACACAAGTAGTACTAAAAACACAGTTAAAAGCAGTATTGCATAATAATCCATCTAAAAATCACACTCAGGAAGCCTGTCACTGAGGGAAAGTCAGACTTTGTGGAAAGGCAGCAAAGAAGAGGCCAGTCCAGCCTCTGGTGGGAGGCAGTTCCAGAGTCTGGGAGCAGCAACAGAAAAGGCCTTTTCCTGTTTCCCCATCAGGTGCACCTGTGAAGGTGGTGGGACTGAGAGTAAGGCCATCCCTGATGAAAGGGGCGCATTGAAAGAGACCCAAGAGTGCTCCTGGTGCTTTTCAGAAAGAAGACCACAGCATCAATTCCCTTGGTGAAAATTTGCCCCCCGTGTTTGTTTTCATCTTCCATCCCTATCCTTTTTTCCTTTTATGTCATGCCTGCCAGATTCTGGGTTTGTGGGAAAAAACTGTCTTACTTTCCAATTTCTGCACAACACTTAGAAAACATTATGCACTTCGCCCATGCTTAGCATCAGGGATGGGGACCCAAGTTGCAGGACTCACTGTCAAGCTGGACTTAGGTCATACTGGTGACTCAAAAACCAGCATTATCACATACAGACGCAATCGTCACAGACAAACAGCCAGATGGATTTGATTAATTCATTAACGATGAAATGTGCTACTTCATAAAACTAATACATTAGAGCCGACACCACCCCC